AGAGTTACAGATAGGACTATGTTTTTCTCCCTGTGTTAGTTGAAGTACGCTCTGTTTGGGACTAATTCTCTTTGCAGTTACAGTCAACTGTTATGTGAACGGGGAGGTTGAGGAAAGCCGTTCGAAGCTGCTTGGTCTTGCTTTTCAGGGAGAGAGCACGTGTGCTTAGAGTAGGGCCTGGGGGCCCTTAAGGAGAATTTTAAGAATATAAGGTTTTCTACTTGGACAGTTTGTGAAGGTTTACAACGAGCACACAGGCACGCAGATACTGACCGTGAAGGTTTGTAGTGGCACTGTCCTCTCACAAGATGCCATCTCTATATATTGAAATAGGCATTTGGACTGTACCGCTTATCCAGATTTCAGAGGATTTTCTACAAGCATCTGTCACTTGTGTCCGTACTTTCTGCCCTGGATTTCTGTCTCCTTAAAAAGTGCACTTTGAAAAATGCAGTTGTCCATATATGACAAAAATCACCATTCTTCCCCTCAAGGAGCACAGTTTGTGAACCTGTCCTGAAATAATTTGTTTCATTAGCCACTCTCTTACATCATGTCCTTTGAATCCTAAAAGAGCTGAAACATGGGACCTCCCTAAAGCTGCCAGTTACCTAGTAATTTCATTTGCTGAAGCTTGTATGTTGAGGGGATCATCAAAGGGCAAGATAATACTCACAGCAGAAGATGAGACGTGCAATAGATGGGATTTGTACGTAAAGAGTACAAGCTGTTGAGGAGCTTCTGAGAGGTGAAGAGGGCCTGATCTCTGCACCCGAAATCTGGTCCTTCTTCGTTGCTGTCATCACACACAAATCTTTTAATGACATATAATACTAGCAGCTTCCTGTCTTAATTCACGGTGATGGCAAATGTATCAGTTAGTACTAACAAAACTTCTCACTGTCACAATTGTACGTCCAGAGCAGGTATCTTTAAATGCCGAGCACTATGGAATTGCATGAATGTATTTGTAGTGTATGTTCTGGCATTTAAAAAAGCAAATTTCGTCTAAAGGTATTTTGAAGGTCGTGAGAGAATCCCAGCCCAACATGGGTGGTTCCTCTCATTAGCCAGGCTTGTCACTCCAACTAGTATTCCAGTCAAGTACAGCTGTTAGTTAATTCTGTAGTAACATCCGCTTACTTGCATGAGTGGATGCATAAAGTGCACATGGAAGTCTTGCAGAGATGTGACACTGTCTAGTTTTCTGCATAACTCAGATATTCGGGTCTGAATAGCATTTTGTAGCAAAAAGCTGAAACACACGATTTCCACTCAATTCAAAACATATTTAATAGAAAATGAAAACATCTAACGTGATTTGTACTGGTTTAGGTAAAAATCGCTGCGCACTCGGTAGCTTCTGCCCTTCGTTTCCCCTTGGTCCTGTTCACTCCACAGGAAAATTCATCATCTTCGCAAACATATAGATCTGTTGGGACTTAGGCATGTGCTTAGCTTTAAACTGCACTTTAGTCCCCCTTGGAGATTGCTCATGTATTTCAGTTTTAGCATTTGTGTGTAAGCCCACAGGGGATTTGGGTAGGTAGAAATTGCTCCTCACGTCATACTTATCATCAGATTGATCATCGGTAGGCTTTTAAATGTCATACCTATGAATGTTGTTCTCTTGCCAGTATTTGCGTGTGCATGTGTGTATATATGTAGTATCTAGTTTGTAGTGTGTATGTGCGTGCACACCTGTACATATATATGTATATACATACCCTGGTTTTGCCCAATATAACGACGCCGACTTGTGTGTAGAGCCAAAAAAACTTATACAATGCTTGGGATGCTGCATTGTTTTTATTATAATATTTTTTATATCAGATGAATTGCAGGATGTTTACAGATGCTTATTAATATTTAACTTATACAATGGAGTGGCAGGATGTTTATGATTGTTGCCAGCTAAAGAATTGTATACGATTCTGGGTGAAATTTTGGCTTTGTTGAAATCCTTGGCAAAACTCCCATTGATCTCACTGGGGCCAAGATTAAACCCCTCTGAATCTATTGTTTACTGGCTATTTTCCTACTGTGATAATTTTTTTAAATGAGTGAAATGTATTTATTTTTTCCCAATGTGAAATCTGCAGTTGCTATTTGGATTTTTCTACAGAACCTGCAAACTACAACACAGGTGGGAATATATGCCTTCAGAGAATGTACAGAATTTTTCATTGATCTGGTCCTTGAATATGTCTAAGAAAATACTTTCTAAAATAACTTTTGTACGATTTAATACAGAATCTTCTAAAAACAGATCACCTTTCATACCTCTCTCCACAAAGAGGGCATGCAGCCTGGCAGGTGAAAATGAAGAATTATTTACTGATGAATAAAAAGTAGTCCCATCTATTTTGTATACCTACTGATTTCATACAGCTCACCTGGCTCTGCAGATCTGGAATGAGACACTTGAAGTACCTTATCCGAAAGTACCTTATCGAAAACCAACATGTTAGATAGTATATGGCTTTAAACTTCTCGTCAAGACATGAGGGTATCTTCAGAGCCAGTCTGTAGAATGATTCTTTTCATATTTCACGGATGAATAGAATTATGAAAATACTAAGAGGTAAGGCAAATCAGACAACTGCTTGACATAAGAGAAATCACTTGTTTAAAGACAGAAGGATCAGTTCTTTTATAGCACCAGGGAGGAAAAAAACTGTAATGCAGCGCTTCCTAAATCCCTTTCCAGGGTATCTTTTAATTGTGTATGCTCTAAGTATATTCTTCCTGTAAAAAGACATAAGGCTGTGAAACAGCTAAACAGAGGCATCTTAATTTCTTCATCTGAGGCTGAAAATACCATTTTCAAACAAGAGCTATCATGCACTTTGAAATATATGTGTGCGGAACAGGTAAGTTTGTATTCATCATAGATGGTCATCCCAGGGATACAGTAGGATTTGTAAATGAGGTAGTTATGCCAATGTTATCGAAAGCTGAAGAAATAGCAAGCCAGCCGTATTCCCCCATGAGGCTCTTTCTGAAGACATCTGTGCAAATGCCCACCGCTCCCAGGAATGTTTTCCTATAATTTTGTTTAAGAAAGGATCATACTCAGATTCCTGCTCTTCCCCTTGCTAATAAGGAAGGAAGTATGCACCTTGGTTGAACTTTCCAGGAGTTTGTTGGCTGTAGAAACAGACCTCAAAAGAACAAACAGTCGAGGCAATCGGTAGGCTCGTGGAGGTTACGCAGGGCTCTGCCTGGGCTCACTGGTCTGCTAATGTGGATCCCATTACAGATTTGGGGAGAAAAAAGCTCCTATTGTGCTCCCGCTGCGGTCAGTGGCAAACCTCCATGGTTATTAGTGGGAGCAGATGGGCACCTGCGTGAGCAGACAACTTTCCTTTTGCATGTTCGTTATCTTTCTGTAATTATAATCGGGACTGGAGTTCGTGACTCACCATTATTTGTCTGAAAGCCCAGGACGCGTAGAGGGTATGCGAGGAAATCAGGAGGAAGTGGCTGGAGGTCTGGATTCCGCCTTTAGTTTTCCTGCCACGGAGCTGGTGCAAGACGGGGGGCAACTCAGTTAACCTTTGTGTGCCTCACTTTCTCTGCCCGTGGGGGTAAGGACGCTTACCGCCTTTGTACAGCCCCCTCGAGACCTATAGGAGAGCAGTGGTATATAAGCGGCTAAGTTTTACTGACACTATTATATGTAGTATAAATAAATGACTTTTGTCCGTAAAACTGCAAAAATTGCTTTTCCCAGTTTCAGTTCTGACTATTTGATGACCTACGACGTTCTGGGTAGTCAGTTCTGAAGCTTAGCGATTGCTCTAGTACTTACAATTACACACATAGTGGGCTCTGTTTGCTGCAGAAAAGAGTAAAACTAAACTGCCTGACAAAACTTGCCAATGAAGTATATCTTAACAGAGCAGGGGTGTAACTTTTGGCTTTATTTACTTGTAATAATGGTAAGGAACAGTGAATTTTGTTTGTTTACATACTGTTTACAATGGCACAGTTTTATTTTTAATATATAAAAAACAATTGAGGTATTTATTGCATATACTATTTTAAAGATGTTTTATGTGTTTTCACCTTTGGAATATATTATTACATTTCCTTGTACAGATAATTTGGGTGGCTTTGTTAATATAGTTAGTAATTTTTATGACTACTAAGTGACCAGTTTTCCGTGCCTTTTTATTGTTGGATGCATGATTACATATTTATTATTGTATGGAAGTCACTGAGATGTGTATTTTTGTATTCTGCTGGAAGCAATGGTTGATTTTATTGTACATGATAAGAGATGCCTTCCATAATGGGCACTCGTATGAGATCTTCCTTCTCAAATAAACAGAATGCATTCGATGTACCTAAGTCCTTGAATTCTTTCTGTGTCTGGAAATCAGTGGAACTCCTTGAACATCGTGACACTGAATTTTAGATGTTACCCACTCAAAATGTGGGCTGCTACCAATGTCATCCAATCCAAAGCAAAATTCCCCATTGAAATCAATACAATGGCACAGTGTAAGCCTTTGTCATTTAAAAGAAAACTCTGCATGTTAAAACTAAATAAATTTTGGGTGAATGACTATCGAGCATCATTTCTATTCAGTCTGCCACACACTGCCTGAAAATTGGTTTAAATTGCAGGCTTTGAATACAGCTTTTAAACATACTTTATATGGCTACGTGCAAGCCCACATGTAGCTTGTAAGTAGGTCACTGTGCATGTAGGTGTTTACATTTGCAGGGATCTTCCACTAGATCTTCCTGGCATACGTCATATTAAAGGTAAAAATAGATTTACATCTGCATCCATAGTAACAACAGTCGTTAAAACAGAATATACAGTAGTGCCCGTGTTTTCCAAGGTAAGCGGCAGTAAAACAAACACGTTTTTCCTTAGTAGTATATATACTGAACCTCTCTTAACACCAACCCAGAGAAACACTCGTTTGAGTTGACTCCATG